AAGAGGTGACAAGAGCACTACTACGTTGCTCAAACCTATTTAAACATTATTATTATTATTTTAGATAAATAAATTCATTCCATTTATTTCTAACCATAAATATTTGGAGTATGAGTGAGAAGATGTAAGGATCTATGTTTTTCCTTTCATGTTTATAACTTATAAGTGTAAAATAAGTCATTTCAAATGTACTTGATGAACTTAGAGTGTCGAGAGAAGAGTTTTCGACCCTCCATTAATTAAGAAAAGATAGTTCACAAGAATTTCAAATAACATGAGCAATGCTCAACCTTAACCGTTGGTACCCTCGACTACTTATTTGAAAAGCTAATAAGCAAATAAGTATTCTCTTAATCACGTGTTCACTCCTAACTTAATCAAGATAAGATTGCTTTGAAAAAAATTTTTTTTTTAAAAAATGGGCCCCCCCCCCCCCCCCCCCCCACACACATGGTGAAAACCGTTATGAACACCCTAATGGACATGCAGCATCACCCATAATTTAAACATCATGTGACATTGGATTAAAAAATAGTCGAAAACTTAAGACGCAAGAGTTAGACTAAAATATGTGTTGCACCATATATCCACGTGTAAGCCACGAAGGCAAGCGAATGCCATGTGCGCATGGTCCAAATGTCAAGGGCCTTTCCACGCCCTTTGTTCATCTGGAACAAGGCAAACCATGATCTTAACTCTAGACAGTACAATATCATCCCTCATGGTCTTTGACCAATGGGTGGAAAGGTGGAGCAGCGCCTCTTCGTCGAACCATCTTTGGCAGGACGGAAGGGCAGATCCCTGTTGGGTTCAACGAATCAAATTCCTTAGGCGAGGCCCAACGCATTGTCAATGATAAATAGTTCACAAATCATAGAACTAATGATCATATGGGAGAAATGAATCTTGTAAGGAAACTGTCTCATCTGCTCCTAAAAATCAAGGCTGAATCTTAGATGATTAAGTACGATTTTGTAAATTTTGATAAAATTTATTGTATGATTGAAAAATTGATAAAGATTGTAAACCCCATGCACTAAATTGAGGTTTATCAGGACCAATGCCACGAGCTTCCGGAATACAATGGGACCTTCGTAAAGTTGATCATTATGAGTGTTACGACGAATTTACGAAATGTGTTTTAAAAAAAAAAAAAATAGAGGCTAAACATGAACTAAATTAAATTCAACGACCAACAAAACAGTGACATGTTGAATTAGAGATGCAAGGTATAAACCTAATATCACACGAATTCTTCCCCCTTTAAATAGGCAAGTAAAGGTACATTAGTCTTGAAATTCTAGTCAAAATTCTTCTTACTTGTCTCTTTCACATCCATTTTCTATATACTCTTATCGTTGACATGATCGTTGGAGTGTCAACAATCACTAGCCCTTTTTCTTGATATGGTTGTTCGAATGTGCTAATAACATACATATATATAGTAATGTTACAAGTGATCTATTAACAGCAACAAGGTTGTAACAACTTTTAGATCAACAATATGCACATCACAAATTGCATTTTAAATCGAAACCAAAACTCCCTTCAATTAGAAATTTGTAAAAAACATCACATCAAAATTCTTATTTTTTGGTACCTCAAGATATAATAATCCAAATAAAATGTTACAACTTAAATTTGTTTATACTATAATTTTTTTAGCTCAAAGTTATACCATAATAACACCCCTCTGGCTTTTCGCTTCGATTAATTAGCAATAATACTTTTATAGACTACCGTAATTTTTTTACATGTTAGCTTAGCAAGGAAATTTTGAATCTTTTGTACCCTTTTCCTGCAAGACCTTTGTTCAATTTCATGACATAAACAGATAAAATTTCCCATATACATGCACTTGAGCATGTGTTTATTACAACCTATTTTCCCATTCAGTTATCTATCTACATGACTGTTTGGTGTCTTGGAATCAATTGGTTGAAAATCAAAGTCAATATCCTATTGATGGGCGTTGAACCAATAGAAGACAACCAACTTAATAAAATTTAAATATATCATGATTATTATTATTATTATTATTATTATTATTATTATTCATTTTGGAACAACATGGTTTAAATATAATTTATTTTTATTATGATAACAACATTGGCATGATTGGGAAAAGGCAAAGCCACGTTTCATTGAGATAGTGTTTGGGCATCTTCCTTTTAAAATATTACGCACAATCGAACTAAATTTCAAATTGTAAGTGACATAAAATATTACCGTACGAATTAAATAAATACGTACATAAATGTACGACAAAATCATACACACACGTTCACGCATATCTTGTATTTTAACAATATTTCTTTTCTTTTTCTTTTTTTCTCATGTCTTAAAATGAATGTCATTATCAATTAATTAATTTTGTCATTTGCAATTCTTGAAGTAAAATATTTTTTTTAGTCCTTCATTTCTTTTTTCTATAATTTTTATTTATTATATTCGTAAAATTTTAAACTATTAAAAGTTTAGAAAATTAAATTCCTTTATATAACAAGTTGGATTTAAATAAGGCTCAACCTATGGATTTTTCTTTTCTTTTTTTTTTTCTAGTCCATGTTTTGGATAAATTTTGTTCTTTTTAAAAATAAAAAATTATCATTGACAAATATTATTGACAACATGGAAACATGAACTTTCTTCAAGGTAAAAAAAGTAATTTTTGTAATCAAAATTAAAAATAAAATAAATAAATAAGATTGTTATAATTTATGATGCCTGGAAGCTAGAGTTTAAATGCTATATTTATTCAACTAAATTAAGAATAATCCCATCATACCTTTAATTAAAATTCAACTCTTTCAATGAGACAAGAAATTGGATACAATGCTTTGAGAGTTAACTACGGATCATTTTGGCCATAATGATAAAATGGTATCCACACTTGAAGTTTCATCTCAAAAAGTTAACTTTTTAGACAGATCAATTTTAATAGAATCTATAGTCACACCTTTTCTTTAAATAATCGAATAAACTACCTAAGTGCATGTTTGATAGCAATTTTTCACCCAAAAAAATCATCTTTTTTTACCGTTATTTCACTATTTCAACCGTCATTTTTTATTTCTCCACTCACAGGTGGGACTCGTTTTTCTCTTTAACGGTCAAAAAATCAATTCTCATAATCACTACTGAACAAATCCTAAATTATTTTCATTTAACCATGATAAGACTTGAGATTTCAATCTTGTTAAGAAAAATAGTACAAATTCTTAGACGCTGAATATTATTTTAATATTTAATCGAAATGTAACTTACCTTAACAAATCATTTAGAATAAATAAAAAATATATAAACTTAATTGCGCGTCTTAGATAATATGATTTGATACCAATGATGTAACAAGACATACCTCAGTCGAAAAGCCTTAAATAATTAAGGGGAATATTAATTATTAAAGTGAAGTGCTTAGTGGTTAAGGTTTGTAAATACGTGGGACAAACGCGGGGAAAAAGAGAAAGCTTGTAGTATACAAAAGGGGGATTTGATGGCGTTGAGATTCTGATTAATATCATTCATATAAAAAGATTTGTGAGAGAATTACAAAAAGCAAAGCTAAAAACTTATAATTTAAAAAAGTTCACTTTGTCTAAAGCCCGTATTCGCGATTAACATGAATAACATCGAAATGAACCAATTATAAATAGGACTTAGCTGTGAGTTTTGAAGAAATATAAGGAAAAATTATTTTCAAGGATCGAGAATTATTTTGGAGTTGGTTAATTTTGTGCTTGTTTGGTATGGATTTTGTTAATTAATTTTTTGACTGTTAAAAATAAGGGTCCTGCTCGTGAGAGAATAATTTAAAAATAACGACTGAAATAGTGAAATAACAATCAAAAAATTGATGTTAATTGAATTAAAAGCAATTTGATATTAATAACCACAAGAAATGAAGTTAATTTTGGTCGGCCGAAGAAATGTCTGAACATGAAAATCTACATAACTGAAGTACCGATTTGCAAAAATCAGTGCTTAGGCCCTGATGTTCTGTATAGGCCCATCTTCAATTCGTGCAGTTTCTCTTGGGCCAAAAGTCGAACACAGTTACTGTATAATCTCAGTCTCAGTGTGAAAATGTTTAGCCATGGCTGAGAAAATCTATCTCTGAATTTCTCTTCTTTTTTCTCTACAAATCCTTTAAATGGCAGTTTTAGTTAATTTGGCCCAACACAGCTACTGTATAATCTCAGTCTCAGTGTGAAAATATTTAGCCATGGCTGAGAAAATCTATCTCTGAATTTCTCTTCTTTTGTCTCTACAAATCCTTTCCATAGCAGTTTTAGTTAATGTACATGGAGCAATAAACTTTTGTATTAATAATATTTTGCTCATGAACTTGGTTTAATCACCTCCCTACAATCATTCTGCCCAGTTTTGCATCTTCATATAATAGCAATGACTGGGCTTAGTCCAGATCCTGCATTCATTTTCTAGTATTTTCACCAGATCTCTAACTGCTCATATCACAGTATTACAGAAAAGTTTCTTGCATTCAATTATTGAGTTTTGGGGTTCACAAAAATTCCCAATACATAATTTTTATGTTTAAATTGAAGCGTTTCTTGTAGTGTCCAGTACAACTCTCTAGAATGTCAAATGTCATTTAGTGAAGTTTCATGGAAGAGCTGACTGAAAACTAAGCTCTTTTAAACCGAGAAATCCCATATTCAAGGTGGAGCAACGACATAGAAGACGGTAAGGGGGAGCATTTAAATGACGACTGCTTTATGTATTCTCGTGAAAGTACCGCGGATCCTTTTGATAATAGAAGATGACAAATCAAACAAGATTATAATCAAGAAACTGATTGAGCCTAACCTTTCTACGCAATCAACTGTTCTGTTAACTAATGCTTCGCTTCTCTCATTTGTAATGGGGAAAGTGTCCAACTCAGGGTGGAGCAAGGGAGAAGGAAAAGATCACTAGTCATAATATATGAATCTTTAAAAGAGATGACTTTCCAAAATGTCATTCCTCAGCTAAAAGCATAAACAAATGGATACTGTACTTTATAGGAACTCATAAAACGTGTATTGGGAGACAAAATTAAATGAAATTGGAATATTGAGATAAAGAGACTATCCATATGTGCAAAATTGTCGTGCATTAATTTAAACATTGTCGTGCACTAATTTAAACAGAGACGTAAGAGACAACAACGGTGAGGTCATCAAGTTTACCGCCATAATAAGAATATCCAGCTTCTTGTGCTGCAGTAGAGAATGGAGTTTGCTGTTTCCTGTCCAACGCTCGTAGGCGTGCAAAAGCTGCAATCTTCTGTGCTGTAGCATCTGGGCTAAGGCCATATTTGGTTGCATCTGCCACAACAGCTGCTATCTCGTTATTATACAAGTTATCAAACAAGCCATCAGTTCCTGCAACCACCACATCTCCTGGTGCAACAGTAATTGTAAACACCTGACAACAATCTTCACTGGTCAGATTTTCTGAGCGAAAAGTACAAGCATCGACAATTGTAATTCATTGCAAAATTTTACTGCTTCTGTATAAGATTTTATTTCGTGACATTCCAACAGGTGCAGCACTGTGTAAAACAGAGTGAAAGTAAGGGAATCAAGTAGCTGAGATGCCCTGAGCATAAGTATATTGGAAATAAGACTTGTTATTGTTTGTTGTTTTCTACTATTTTGCTGTTTCTTTAGTTAGTGCATACGAATGACATTGATTTAGGCAAAAAGATAAATGATACTGCATAACAGACATAAATCACAGGAATTATGAAACTGAAGAAATGGTGTACATGAGGTACTATTAAGTATTAAAATGGTGCTTCAACTGACCTGTCCAGAGCTAGGTAGATCACCCCTAGGGTCATTTTCAAGTTGATACGTGAAATTGAAACTATGTTGTTGCGCAGGTGATTCAAAGAACGTTTGCCCATCTCTGACCACAATGAATCCACTGTCTCCAAGATTGATAGCATTTAGACCCTGTTCAAGGCAACATAATTGTACAACTATCAGAAACAAATTATGACATTCTCATAAGAGATTTTTATAGGAAAATATCTGGGTGTATAGAAAATTTTTCATAGACTATATACAGAATAGACAGGTGGGTGGGTCCCATGTTGTATAAAAAATGCCAAAAATGTGTGTGAGCCACAGAACTGTGAGTTTTCTTTATATATTCTGGCAAAAATCCTTCTGTACGTGTAGAAGGGTTGTTTTTCTAGATATATTGCAGAACAAATGAAGATTCCAAGAACAGATCATAAAGATTGATAGCATTTATACCCTGTTCAGGGCAACATAATTGTACAACTGTCAGAAACAAATTATGACATTCTCATAAGAGATTTTTATAGGAAAAAATCTAGGTGTATAGAAAATTTTTCACATACTGTGTACAAAATAGAGACAGGTGTGTGGGCCCCAGAACTGTGAGTTCTCTTTATGTATTCTGGCAAAAATCCTTTTGTACGTGTAGAAGGATTGTTTTTCTAGATATATTGCAGAACAAATGAAGATTCCAAGAACAGACCATTAACATTTTCAATGCAATGATTGTACAACTATCAGAAACATAATTGTACAACATAATTATACAACTATCAGAAACAAATTATGACATTCTCATAAGAGATTTTTATAGGAAAAAATTTGGGTGTATAGAAAATTTTTCACAGACTGTATACAGAATAGAGATTGGTGGGTGGGCCCCATGTTGTATGAAAAATACCAAAAATGTGTGTGAACCCCAGAACTGTGAGTTTTCTTTATGTATTCTGGCAAAAATCCTTCTGTACGTGTAGAAGGGTTGTTTTTCTAGATATATTGCAGAACAAATGAAGATTCCAAGAACAGATCATAAAGATTGATAGCATTTAGACCCTGTTTAGGGCAACATAATTGTACAACGGTCAGAAACAAACTATGACATTCTCATAAGAGATTTTTATAGGAAAAAATCTGGGTGTATAGAAAATTTTTCACAGACTGTGTACAGAATAGAGACAGGTGTGTGGACCCCATGTTATATAAAAAAATGCCAAAAATGTGTGTGGGCTTCAGAACTGTGAGTTTTCTTTATGTATTCTGGCAAAAATCCTTCTGTACGTGTAGAAGGGTTGTTTTTCTAGATATATTGCAGAACAAATGAAGATTCCAAGAACAGATCATAAAGATTGATAGCATTTAGACCCTGTTTAGGGCAACATAATTCTACAACTGTCAGAAACAAATTATGACATTCTCATAAGAGATTTTTATAGGAAAAAATCTAGGTGTATAGAAAATTTTTCCCAGACTGTACATAATAGAGACAGGTGTGTGGGCTCCATGTTGTATAAAAAATGCCAAAAATGTGTGTGAGCCCCAGAACTGTGAGTTCTTTTTATGTATTCTAGCAAAAATCCTTTTGTACGTATAGAAGGGTTGTTTTTCTAGATATATTGCAGAACAAATGAAGATTCCAAGAACAGACCATTAACATTTTCAATGCATTGATTGTACAAAAAGCGCCCACATAATTGTACAACATAATTATACAACTATCAAAAACAAATAACCCCCCCCCCCCCCCCCCCCCCCCAAAAAAAAAAAACTCCATTTAAAAACCCCCATTTGGCCCCATTAAAACTCATTAATTCGCATTATTTGCCAATTTTTCAAACAAAAGTGGGTCTCAGGTGTCAAATTGTTCAGAACGTACGTGTAACATGAAAGGGAAATGTTTTCATTCATAATGGAAGGTACACACTTTATATGCCTAAATTACGGTAATACCCTCCCAACCACTAACCAATGGAAATGTGGATAAGTGTGATTGAATGAGGGGTAATTTTGTCTTCTGCCATTGATGTTGGAGGGTGTTTTGTCCAGCTAACTCAACTGTCCATTTGACTGAAATAAACTATTGTCAATGGATAAGCTTGTGTCAAAAAAGGAGGGCTAAAAAGTTGCAAGAAAAATAATTTAATGAGTTTTAAAGGGAGCCAAATGGGCGCAAAATTTCTTCTCCCTTAATGAGTATTTTACAAACAAAAAATCAAATGAGTTATCTAACATTTTTCTCATCAGATAACATGGATGGATTAATCAAAGTCCAGGAATCAGAAAAGTGGCAATTTTGATATGCCAGTTTACAGCCAATACTTCAAGTAAAATTTAGACTTTTATAATGCTTTCTTTTCATAATGTTACAGCTTCAAATTCAACCATACCAGAATGTATTCACTCAAACCTCTTTCTAACTTTTGTGTGAAGTTGATTCGTGGACATCAGTAAATATGAAGTCTGAAAAGATTGCTAGTGCAAACTATCTATGTTAGATCTTTAGGGAGTCTAAGATCTACATTTTAGTTTTTATGTGTGTTTCAGACATTTAACTTATCGATCGAGTCCATTATATATTTAAAAAAAAAAAAATCCTTTCTATATATCATGCTCCTAGGCAATTAGTTAGATCATTGCTCTAGATGACTTTCCTCTTTAGTCTTCAAAAGACCAGCAAGTGTTATTCAACATTTTCAATATGTGATTTTCTTTGCTCCTAATAAAATGGTGATAATCAGTCTTCCAATATAGGCAGGAGTTTAAAGTTTCTCGTCGACCATATCTCATTTGGATGGACTCTACATTGCATTTACTAGATTTGTAGCATATATGAATATTGTTTTTATACAAGATGAGATATGAGAATGGACGTGCCAGTATGAGTATGTTTTATGTACTAATTTCCAAAACTGAAATCCGATTCCAACTCGTCCAATGAAATTTTATACAAACTAGTAACCTATCAGATATTACCCCCCGTACAAGGTTTTTCCACAAGGAATGTTACTTACACCACCATATCTAGATGTCCTTAATTCTCCAAACACTTTATCGTTTATATATATAGACCATAGTTGAGCCCCATTTTTGGGCCAAAATGTATTTTGAAATAGTGTTGTGTTGGAGAACATGTGGTTAAAAAAGAAGGAAAATTTTTAGATTTACGTATAAAATTATTTTATGAGAGAATGTGTGGTAAGAAATGAGTTTTGAAAAAATGAATTTTTGGAAAAATGAGGGCCAAACATAGGCATAATCAATGTGCATTCAAATGCACAATATATGAAAAGGTGAGCATCCAAAGCACTGCACCTCCTTCAAGTTCTGACCTTAACTATCTATATTTTGATCAGACATATGGCCACATAATTTCTGAAAATTAAATGGTGTATACCTACATATTACATGTTCACAGTCCAAGCAAAGTCACAGCAAATCCTATCAGACTGAAGACTTGTAGCATTCTTTAATATTTTTCCAAGTCTTCTCTCAATTTTCTTGTTTTTTTGCATTAATCACATTTTACTAATTTGCTCTTCAGTTTTCTTAATATTTTCTGACTACAGTTATATGGGACGAAACATAGAAGTAAGACACGGTAAAGGCTGAACCATGTCTAGCCAAAGTATGAATATCGTCAAACCTGATTTTTAAGGGCAATAATGCAGGCTGTTGAGGAACCCATGGCTTTAGTCTTTGCATGCGCTTTTTCCAACACCCGTAATGGGTCTATATCACCATTAGCTTCATCTTGAATTGCTTGCACAGAATTGGACATGAGTTCACGAGCATATTCTCCAGCATTAATACCAACATCTGCCCAACCACCAACTCCATCAGCGACACCAATTACTTGCTCATCCACACAAATAAAATGAGCATCTTCCCCACCAGTTTCTTCTTTAGCTGGATGAGGCAGGTAACATGCTCCGGAAAGTAGCTTTAGAACCCGGTCACCAGAAGCCCTGGAACAACAACAGGGCATTTAATATCCTGATTCTAGGCACTGCCTAAAGTTCATGGTCAAATTAACTAAAACTTAAAATCTAGCACGGACTCATGCTAACTGAAAAATTAAAAGAAAGTCAGGTGTAGGCAAAAACTGTCAACTCGGAGGAGGATTTAATAGCAAGAAATTTTCATATGGCACTTTGGGAATCATAAGATGTGTGCTCTGTATTTTAAATTTGTCATAAATACAAATCTAAGCATTCAGTAACATATGCAAAGCTCCAAAGCAGTAATTGGATAATTCATACAACAATCTTACAGTATGACACATGAACAGGCCAATATTTTAGGTAAAACTTATAATCCGTCTTTAACAAATCAGACACTTTTCAAAGCTGTGAAATAAGAATTCAAAGAAAAAACAAGATAAAAGAGAACCTCTCCTCTGAAATTGCCAGACTTATAAGCTCATCAGTGCACGAAGATCCATCAGTCGACAAATCAGGCATAGGCCCATCAGAATAATACGAAGATGAGAATGTACGGAAATCATTTGACCATGTTGCAAGAGGTGGATTAGAAAAGCACGACCTTTCCGTGAGATCGAACATAAAATTTAATTGGACTCCCGTATGGCCATTAGTTCCTCCGTTTCTCATTCTCACACTAGCCTTCCGGCAATTCCTACCGCTCCTATCACTGAAATAGACACCTCTAGGCTTTGCAAAACCTGAGACATTCCCACAACCTGAGACTAAAGTATCGAGAATAAGATCTCCTGAGGCAGCTACGGTACCAGAAGCTGCCATGGCTATTCTATTAAATGGGGGGATTGAGATTCTTTTTAATCTCAAAGCCCTTTGAAAACCAAAACCAAAAGCAGTATTCAGATTTGAAAGCAGCCCAGATGGCATTTTCTAAACCAACCAATTCAATGTTTCCTTTCGGAAAACCCTGTAAATAGAATCCATAAATAAACCATTCTCTTTGCTTATTCTGGGAACAAATAACGATGCCACCAAAGGTCCAAAGCAATCAAAACCTTGCCACCTGAAATAAAAGCCAAATGGGCTATCAAAATCCACAAAACTGAATACACGATACCGGGGAGAAAAGGGGAAATTTTGAGAGAGAAGTACAAGGGATAACGAGCAAGGTAAATCTGAAGATGCCTAATTCAGAGGCTCCGCCACTCCCATGGATAAACAGAGCCTTATCTTTATGGCGGTATCAAAACATTTTTGTAGAGGCGGAAAATTCAATTTTTGTCTTTGTTAATGGTACGAAAAGGTATAATTAACGATGCCGACTTGCATAATAAAAATAACAGAGGAATAATAATAGGAAAATGATGAGTGTACAGGATTACGTGAACTACCAACACTCACGAACAACGATTACCACACGGGATTCACTTGTATTAAAAAAAAAAAAAAAAAAATCTCCACCCACATATCCAATATATGTGAGTGTTCCGTATGGGTTTTATAGTTGTACTTGTATCACCTTCCATAATAATAAGAAGAACATCAAAAAAAAAAAAAAAAAAAAAAAGGGGGGGTCAAAGTCGGCCACCAAGAAAAAAAAAAAAAAAAAAAAAAAAAAAAAAAAAAAAAAAAAAAAGGGGGGGTCAAGAGCGTGTGGCCGAGTTGGCAAAGGGCATGGCCTGGGAAACTGGGTTTGGCTTCAACGAGGGTTCAATCCACGCTTGAGACATCCGCCTTCTCCTTGGAGAAGATTTAACCGACTGGTGTGGTTGCGGGTCTCGTGCCAGCCCCCAGGTTTACCTAGTGCGCACTGGTCGCCAGTAGCGGCTGCGGGTTCCTGGGTTATCAAAAAAAAAAAAAGAAGAAGAAAGGGAGCCGGCCCCCCAGGGCACATCCAAGCTGGCAGAACAATCACATTGGGGCGTTCTGGAACCAAGCGTGGGGAGTTCGATTCCTGGTTGGAGCAGTTAAGTATTGTAATAACCAGAGGAAGGGTTTGAGCAGTTTGGTGATGTAATAACCATGGAGGAGGCTCCCTTTGGGGAAGAAGTAAAAGCCATATGGGAACCTGGGAACCAACAAGGGCACAACTTGCGATTTACCTCCCTGAACAGCTGAGGGGCCGAAGGTTCAAGGACGAGGATATAGTCTGGCGCAAGTTGGGACACCTCGTTTAAAAAAAAAAAAAAAGAAGAAGAAGAAAGGGAGCCGCCCCCCGGGACACAGCTCAACTGGTGGATCAATCAACATTGTCTTGCTTTCAGCGACAGGGTGGAGGTTCGAATCCTGGTGGGAACCTTTGGCCAGATTTATTTGGTATGGAGCAATCACTTTGAAAGAGGATCTCTTGTGCGCAGAAGTGTACAAACGGTGGGGGAACCTGTGATCCAGTTGAGGCATAACCCGCGATTTACCCCTTCCAAGATTCTAGGGGCAAGGGTCTTGGGAATCAAAATTTATAAAAAAAAAAAAAAAAAAATAAGTTGGGAAACTTGGAAAAAAAAAAAAAAAAAAAAAAAAAAGTGAATGTTATCGAATCTCTCAATCACACCATAGATATAACGGGTTTGTTTGGTCTGCTTTTCACATCATAATTATTGAAAGTTATATAATTTATAAAAGGCTTCATCTTTCAAAATAATTTATAGAGGAAATCATATTAATTAGTTTCCTTTAAAAGTTGTTTTAATCAAGTAGACAAGAAAAGGGTGCTGGCAGTCGCAGGGATCGATTCCTAAAATATGGATTGGTACTCTTTGTGGGCACAAATATACGGACATCTCTTGTTCCTTTACGTGTTGGGACACATCCCAAGTTAAACTCTCTCAGAATGCTCCAAGGGCGGGACGGTGGGAGACCCTTAAGGTTGGGGTTCAACCTTTTAAGAAGAAAGAGAAATAATCAGTTAATTGTTCCAATGGTCACCAAACTTAGTTTCATGTCTTTGATTGGTCACTGAAATTTAAAAATGTCGAGTTTTGGTTCTGAACTTGGGTTCATATTTTCGATTGCTCACTGAAATTTAAAATGTTTAGTTTTGACCACTGAATTTTGAAAAATATTGTACATTACTTACTAAACTTTGAAAAATACTGTACATTACTCACTGTAAATTCGATATTTTTCAAAGTTTAACAGTTATGTTAGTGAGTAACGTACGGTATTTTTCGAAGTTCGGTGGCCAAAACTCGACATTTTAAATTTTAGTGAGCAATCGAAGACATCGATTTAAGTTCAATGAATAATCGAAAACATGAACCTAAATTTAATGATCAAAACTCGATATTTTAAATTTTAGTAATCAATTAAAGACATAGACCTAAATTCAGTGACCATTAAAACAATTAACTCGGAAATAACAAATGCGAGAGCAAAAGAAAAGAACAATTTTCTAAAAAAAATTGTTTGAAAATTAGTCTAATGTATTTTAGTTCCCGACGAGAGGAATTAGTATTGAACAATTTTCTAAAAATTTATTATGGTTAGAATTTATAAAATGTTGCAAAAATGTCTATTATCTATTCAAAATTTCCCTACGATTAGGCACGAAAACAGTACAATTTCATCAAACTGGCTAAAAATAAATTTTTAAAAACATTTAATTGAATCATATCATAAAACTCTTTCTTCTTTCCCTGAGTTCTAAAATCCATTTGTTTCATTCACTCAATTCGATTTCAAATCCATTGCTCGTTCGCCAAATCTTTTCATAAAGATTGTTACTCCACCATTTTATTCACCTCGTATTCAATGACAAAAAGACCTAATCGACTTGTCATTTTCATTTATCCATCTTTTTCCTGCTTATTCTCCTAAATGTTCAATTTGACCATCGAAGTGGATATATCATTTGAAGGGCAACAAAGAGGTGTCTCCTTGGAGACGAAGAAATTACTAAGAGTGAAGCCTAATTCCAATCAGAAATTTGTGAAAAAAGAAGAAGATGATAAGGAAGGATATGATAGATTATTGTTTGTTGAATGACATCGTAAAATATAGAAATCTTGTTTTTTGTCTCTCCTTTTTCATTTATTACATCGATCTCATTTTAATTTTTGTTCACATAAGTGCAATTTTTTGTACATTGAAGTCATCGTGTATATATAGATGTTAAAAATTGTACATTTATTTGTGAACCATTTGTTAAATGATTGTTGAACAAATGTTGGGCACTGTTTAATCCATAATGCGGAGGAATAGATGTTGATTTTTCATTTTATTTCTTCTTATTATTTGATTTATTTGGTAAATTTGAATGTCTAAAAATTTGCTATTGACATCTTGAGTTTATTATGGAAAAAATAGAATTGCTATGAAAATCTCGAATATGCTGGGCAATTCTCGAGCTTACAGTGCAAATTTCGAGTTTCATCGGCTATCTAACTGAACACGTGCATAAAAATTTTGAACCGTAACTCTAAATCTATGATAGGATTCATTAATTTAAGATAGTACTATGTCAGATGATTAGTCAGATCAAAATTAGTGTTCAACAAGAAAAAATTGCGTTGAAACTTCTTCGAAGCCATTATGTATATTGATACTATTCGAATTGATTGAACAAAATATTATGGATCTATCTTCGACATAATTAGAAATAAAATGAATTGAAGAGTCGAAAATACAAATAGAGATGACTTGATAAATATAAACATCTAAGTAGTCAAAGAAAACGAATTTAAAAACACCAATGATCTAATTGTAAGTTCGTGTTTCGAAAGCTACAAGTAAAAAGGAGACTCGAACCAACTTCATTCATTGATTTATCAAATAGCAAATGTATTTAAATTGGGTAATGCAAATATATTTAAAGTAGAAATGTGTGACAAGATTTACATTTTTTCTTTCAGCATACTGAACGTGTCATTAGAGTGAAATTGTGACTTTAATCGTATTAGGATTTAATAAGTTAATTGTTCTAATGGTCATTGAACTTCAATCCATATCTTTGATTGGTCACTGAAGTTTAAAATATTAAGTTTTTGTCATCAAACTTAGGTCAATGTCTTCGATTGCTCACTGAACTTAGGTCTATGTCTTAGATTGTTCACTGAAATTTAAAATATCAAGTTTTGACCACTGAACTTTGGAATATGCCGTACGTTACTTACTAGTATAATTGTTGAATTTTAAAAAATATCGAGTTTACAATGAGTTATGTACAGCATTTTCAAAGTTAAATGAGTAATGTATAATATTTTTCAAAATTCAGTGAGTAATGTGCAATATTTTTCAAAGTTCAGTGGTCAAAATTCAACATTTTAAACTTTAGTGAACAATCGAAGACATGAACCTAATTCAGTGATTAAAACTCTATATTTTAAATTTCAGTGATCAATCAAAGATATGAAACTAAGTTCAGTGACCATTGAAACAATTAACTTGAATTAAATTAATCGACTCTTTAAAATACAGAATCTTGCATTTAAAATTGTCTAAATAATGCTCTAATACGTGTGACAACTGGTGTATACCACATGGTAGCTTTCAAGTTCCAACGCATCATGTTATTAACTTTCCTTTTTTGTTTGGTATCACTCAAATTTAAGTTAAAATCAACAATTAATTTAAATCAAACATTTTATGAAACTCACAAATTTTCACCACACGTTTCATCATTTTGATCAAATTTTATTAAAATTTATTTATTTTTATCTAAATTAAACAGTAGCGTAATTTTAAAAATAATGGAAATAATGCACATGTCAAAAAGTCACATTTCTTTTTACTTTTTCATTAAAAATCACATAATGTTTCCTTTATCGTAAACTTATCTAGGATGTCCCGTTATGGGGTAGTTTCATAACTACAAACATTTTTGAAATCAATTTCAAAAATTAGATAAATTAGAATATATTTCAAAAAATAGGTGTGATTTCAAATCTATTATTTTTATTGCCGTACGTAATCTACTGTATCGTATTTTTTAAATAAAATCCCTTACTTAATAAGTAACAGTGATTGTAACTTGCACTCGGTATAAATTTACATTTAAATCATGGTACAGTATATGAAATTTCTTTGAAATTGTAACTTCATTGTGTGCTATGCATATAATTTTTATAAATTGTTACACCACATCGCATATCATCGCACTACCGCCACCACTTCAACACAAGAAAATTACGTACACTATTGTTACATTATGTGTACTTTCTGTATCAACTCATTAATCTATGTACCACCACCATCGACCCAACATCATCAACAATCACCTATCAACACGAAAAAATTATACACATTGTTGTTATAATGAATAATTTTTGTATTATAACTTATTAATCCATGCATCACTACCACACACCACATTTGATGTCACTATCATCGTCATCACCACCTCAACCCACCATTTAGAATTGAAAATTGTCAAAATTGCAGATCACCCAAACTTCATCCAACCACCATTACCACCGCGACTATTACCTTTCACCACCGCCATCCCATTTGCATGTAACACCTAGATTTGAAAATACCGATGGAGAAAGAAAACAAATCTTTAACCAGTGTGTGAACAATCCCAAACTTGGGTGCAAGCAATCGTCAATTACCCCAGACATTACCATGAGAAATCGAAAAAATATAATTGTCTCTTTTTTCTTGTGCATATTGTGAGACGATTGATTATTGGTTTCCCAGTTTTGTGGTGGTGAAGATCGGCGGACAAAATGGCCTAATTTTACTCTTTTATTTGGAAAACAAAAATACATAATTACTATAGTTTAAGCCTCCACTTATTTATCGATCATAAATTATTAAAATAATTTATCAAAATTTATTTATTGATACAAATGATTTGTCTTCACAAAGATAAAGTGTAGCACAATTACAAATTTAGAACCCGTTTGAGCCACATTATAATGAGAATGAGAATGAGAATGAGAAATAGAGCCGTTATGAGCCCCACACCAGAAATAGAAATTCAAAAATAGTGGCTTGATGTGATGGATAACGATCATATTTTTCATTTTAATGAGGTAAAAATGGGACTCAAACAGGGGCTTAGTTAAAAAAATCACACATTTTTAGGTAATATATTATTCATTAATCACAGATTATTCATTTTATTGGTCACAATTGCTCTTCTTCCCATCCCAATCCACCCCACCACCATTGGGCACTTGCACCAACACCGACACCGACACTGACACCATCCAAACGTGTGACTGCTCGCAGCAGAACCCCAAGTGGGCCTCTGTATCCTACGAAATCTTTCATATGCCTCGAGTGCTCTGACAAGCATCGTGGTCGAATATTCATTCCACAGTTGTGGGTACGTGAATTTGAGGGCAAGGCGATGTTGATGAAGTGGTGGTGAAGCAGGAATTGTGATTTGGGAAAACGGGGTAAAGGATAGAGGGGAGGGGATAGGGTAGTGGGCGTCTAGAAGGCGGTGGACAACTACGGGCAACAATGGGCTTCGACGGTTGTGTGGGACTGGGAGATGGGGGGGTCAATTTGGTAAGAATTCAATAAAAGGATAGGGTGTGGGGCACGTTTGGGTGAGTGGTGTAGGGCGCGAGTGGGATTGGGGGGTGGGACGGGTACACCTGATTTTCTATAGATAATTTTTTTGTACTTGATCATTGACATGTGAAGTTAAAAAGTGGGTGCGTGTGTCGTTTCCTCCTATTTTCTTTGTAGAGCCCCACAAGGCCGCGGTGCTGTTCATGGGCTTAACACTTGGACCTGGTACAGTCCATCTTCATAGATCATGATGCAGCTCGGGGCCAGGCCGAACGCTTGTCTGGCAGCTGAAATCTGCCCCCCTTCAAAGCATGAACAACAATTCCCTTGCACAGAGGAACTGATGCCAGAATTGTTACAAATGCTACAATGGCAGTATTTGTTTGGTCTTTTCTTTTTTTTTCTTTTTTTTTCTTTGTTCCTGCCATTTTCCAATTGAAAGCTGCCAAGTATTATCTGTTGAAATTCTGACAGCTCCTTTTCAAGACACGTAGTAGGTCTGAAGCATGAAATAGGACTGACCCTGCCCAAATTATGAAATATCAGTGGTCCACTTGATCACAGGCATCAATTGTCAATACCTACACTTTCTCCAGTAGGGATATTGAAACTCATCAATTGTCTAAAACTTTCCAATAGCTTTTCATGCAGCAGAAGGAATTCAACAGTAATTAATAATGATGTAAAACTACAAGATACTAAATCATATTGGTTAATGGCTGACATAAAAATTCTTCCAAAAATGTTTCTAATAATATCAAACTATCAATCAACTTATCTCACAGATGAAACAAAGGCTCGACATAATCACACGCCAAATCAAAACTAAAATACAGATTGTCTGAACTCGCCATGCTATTAATCTAGTGTTCCTATTTGATAAACATAAAGGAATTTAAATCCATTGGATCAATATTTAAACTCCATATAATAGTGTAGTATATGTTTACTTCTAGTTTTGACCATTCCCAGCTAGTGTTCATGCAAGTACTCGATAAATAATGAGAAGAAAGGATATCCAAATCTGAATGTATTACTCGAAAGAGTTCCAGTCATCCATCAGTAAAAGGCAGCAGACACCATTGAAGAGGCTCAACTACTTCTCTGTCACTGTTAACCCCTGCATTTCAGAGAACTAATACAATGTCCTACCATATGTTTGCTAGCTACACGTCAGTTATTCAAACAATGTAACACGCAGGCACAGCATACAAGTATCGTGTGTAAACGAACAAGTACTAGCAAACATAAGCTATGCTCGTGTCAGCTTCTCCCCATGTCCTTGCCAGAAAATTCTCCATCACCAAATGCTGCTGCTGTTGCAGCAACGTCGAGGCCATCGTTAATGGATTTCATTATAGCAGACAGCCCACCAGTCGGGCCACCTCTGGCAGCCATCCCTAAGCCGAGAAGGTCGAGGGTGGCATGCTTGGGACCAAAAACTGATGGAGTTCCCAACATCAATTCTGTCAAAGCAGACCCCCCATCATAGGCCAGTCCAAGTCCAAGTCCAAGATCAGATGCTAATGATGCACCCTCGGACTCAATTTCTTGCCTATGCCATCTTTGGGGCTCGCTTGAAGGTGACAAAGAAGATACTAGTCCAAGCCCCCTCAATACCGACACATTTGATGCAGCTACCCCCACCTGAGCAGCCTTTTGAAGCAATGCCGTGGCAGACATTGCAGGCTGTAGTGGTCGAGCGTACTGCCTGCCGTCTTGTTCTGCTGTTTTTAAAATTGCAGACCCTTGGTTCATAAGGCAGAGAGATATAGGTTCAGAAGATGGACAGAGTGCAATATCAAATGTCTGCTTAGGACGAGCCATGGTTTCAAAAAAACCAGGAAATCTGGTTGCTTTAGATTGCAAACTTCCAGATGAAGTTGATGAAGCAAATAAGCTGGAAAAAACATTACTATTTGTACTACCATTACTGCTGGAAAGACTGTTGCTGCTATAATTTGCAGCGGAGTCAGATACTGTGGGCGTCTCCTCGAAAATTCGGGTAGTAGTTGAGTTGTAACTTGAACTTTCAGGCAATTCTACGGAGATAAACAACATCAAGTAGAAAATATTTAGTTAATTGAAAATTGATAGAAGTAAATAACCAAGGGGATTTTGTATGAATTTAAAAGATAATCAGAAAATAGTATCATTTTCAACTTTCTTTGCTTCTCCCTTAACCAGAAATATCCCTTGGATTTATATTGAATCTAAATTGCTATGTACTATTTGTTAATATCCAATGGATTTCTAGTTATTTAAAATTTAGCCCTAGTTCTTGCAGTTCAAATCACAGATCAGGTAGTCTAACACTATATGCAGATAAAAACAAATGTCACCAAGAAACAACTTTGGTTTATTTTGGTTCGCAGAACTAATACACCTAGGACAAAATCGAAATCTGAAACTACAACAATCCAATTTTTGGTCAAAAGTACCTAGATTCTGAAGAGGAAGAACAGAGGACGCCACAGCAGTGGCTGATGGTGATGAAGCCTGTGGTGGAGGTGCCACTGGCGGTTGTGATGGTGCTGCCACTTCTTGTGGCGGTGGAGATGGCATAACAGTTTGAATTTTCGGATCCTCATCAGCGCTAGAAGGTACCAGTGCTGTATTCTTTTTTGCAGTCTTCCCTCCTAATGCATCACAAAAACCCACGTGTGTAATGAAACTATCCCTCCTGCATAACAAACAAGTCGAAATCAACTCCAAATATCAAAATCACTTCAAAAGAGTCGTCTGTAAGGTACACAAGAAAGGTTGAATATTGGACCTCAAAAACAGAGTCCCACAATCACATTTATACTCTCTTGATCCACATATCTTCGAGTGTGCCTTCCAATCAGATTGAACTGCATAGTTTTTTGAGCACTTCTCGCATTTCCACTTCTTTTCACCATGTTTTCTGCAGAAATGCTTCTTGATCCCGGTCAAATCGCCCAGTGCCCGTGAAGGACTGTGATGAATGCAGCCAGGTTCGGGGCACACGTAGACTCTTTTCTTGACTTCTTTACTTGATCTCTGCCTAAGCTTCCAAGGCAAATTATGACCCCTCCTATGAAGCTGCAAATTCTGATCTCTTTGAAACCCTTTATTGCAAATTTCACACACAAACCGATTCGTAGCCAACAAAGTCCTTGGTGATAAAGCAATCACCTCCGCATCAGGATCTAATGAAAATAAATGAAAATTCCACAAATCAAAATTACATTATTTTCTTAATTCAATAGTAGTGGATAACGGGAACTAATCTTTGTAATTTTACCTGGCATTCCGGGGAGATTTCGTTTTTTCTTGGCAGTTAATTTTGGAGGGGCAGTTTGATTACCAGAAAAAGAGTCCACAGAAGCTGTGGAATTATTCATGATGGAAAAAGCTATCTGAATAACTTGGTACGTGAAGACGAATTTTTACAATATCTATTCTCCCGTGTGGCTATAAAGAGAAACATTTAAAGGGCATTTAAATTGAGGAAATTTGAGCATTAAAAAATTATTTCTTTATATGCTCGGCCTTTTATAGATATCCACTAGCCAAACATGGTAGCCGGTTACCAGTTCATGACCAAGACCCAGAATAGAAAAATCAGCTGATTAACACAGCAAGCTAATTAAAATTATGGAAAAATAGATAAAAATGGAAGAGAAAGAAACTGCTACCAGAAATAGAGAGTTTGTAGAACAGTGGATTTAAATCTTGCAATGGCTACTTTAATGTTCAACGTTCAATTTCATGTAAATGTAACTTGAGAAAATAAAGCGGAAGGCAGCGGGCTGCGGTACGACGGAGAAAAGTTCGGCGACGCAAAAATTGAGAGAGGAGCAATTTGGGGGAACGGATGAGAGTGGGTGCAGGTGTAAGTGTCTGCGTGTGCACAAATCCTCTTTGTTTGGGTTCACTTCAATTTCACTTTTTTGAACCTAAATTAACATTAAAAATTAATAAGGATCCGACTGCTTTTATTTTTTATTTTGGCCTTTTTAAATAGAAGAGGTGTCAACTGCCTATAGAAATTATTTTAAGTATCGAGACATTTGTTATTTAGAAAGTGAAATATTTTGCCCTTATTTAAGACACATTATTTTCATAAATTTTTGAATAGTGTATTAATGAAAAATATGTAATTAAAAAATAAAAAAAATTATGAATTTATATGTAATATTATTTTATTGAAAAATGTGCGAATGTCAAATTACTGTTTAAAAAATATTTTTTTTAAAAGAATGTAGGTCAAAACTGTCTTCAAAAATCAACTTTTTAAAAAAATATATAAAGGTTAAAATCAAGTTAATTTAGAAATTAGGGAAAATTGCAGTTGAGGTACCAAATATTTCGCTTATTAGCAGACTTTGCCCAAACCTTTCATTTGTGTCACCCATTGTACCAAACGTTTCAAAAATACTCACTTGAAGTCCAACTTAACGGAACTGTTAGTTCAACTGTTAGTTGACCAAAGGTCAACGATTTAACCAAATTTTGACTAATTCTAAAAGATTAAAACGGTAAATTTATATTTTCTATAATAAAAAAATTAAAATACAAAATCCACTTCATATTCTCCACTCACCCATCCCACCCAAATCCTAAAAGAAAAAACCAGAACCCACCTACTTCCCGGACATCGTTACCCACCGCATCGCCACCATCCATATGATTTTGACGATCTCGCCCTCTTCCTCTATGAAGCGCTTGCATCCATTAGCCCTGGCAACTTCGTCGTATCCCATTTAGGAAGCACCAAGTCTAAACCCAAAATTGCCTTCTTGTTCCTTACAAATTCATATCTCCATTTTACCTGATTTTGCAACTCTTCTTCAACCACCACCAAGGACTTTACAATATCTATATCTACACTGATCCCTCCTCCAAAATTACTCCTCTTGGTGGGGTATTTGAACGTCGTTTTATCACTACGAAACTCACTCAACGCACCACCCCTACTCTCATCTCCGTCGTACCCGCCTCCTCGCCACTACCTTCCTTGACGACTCTTTAAATCCCTACTTTGCCTTCTTCTCCCCGAACAGCATCCCGCTCTGCTCATTCCAATTTATGTATAATACTTTATTCATCAAAAACGAATCTCATCCCATTAGTTTCGAATTTCATATCTAAAACACAAAATTAGTTGTTGAGAGCTTTAGCCGAGGTATTGGTGAAGGGAAGACGATTGTGGCAGTTGGCCTGGGCGGCGACCGTGGTGGGTGGCCAAGGTGGCGATGGCAATCAATTACCTGGGTGCGGTGGTAGTTATTCTGAGCCAAAGAAGAAGAAATGGTTTATCCTTTTTTATTGTTTATTATTATTATTTTTTTAATTTATATAAAAAAATGTAAATTTACCCATTTATCCTCTAACACATTAGTAGACATTTGCTTGGACCATGGACATATGGTCAACTAACGATCAAATTAACAGAAACTATCCATTTGGACTTCAAGTGAATATTTTCGAAAAGTTCGGTATTGTGATTGACACAAATGAAAAGTTTGGATAAAATCTGCTAATAAGCGAAAGATTTGATATCTCGACCGCAATTTTCCCTAGAAATTATCCACTTTATTGAAAAAGAGGTATTTATTGATGGTTGGTGTACATTATTAATAAAAGACCGTAATGATGTCCTTTCCATTTTGTACAATTAATTTAAATGAAATAATGCATTGAAATTAATTCTTCCCGTCTAGTTCTTTACAAATTACACCTTTTTTTTTTTTTTTTGAAGCTTCATCTTAAATATATATTTCAAATTGACTTCTCATTTAAAAAATAAATAAAATTTTCCTTTAAATTTGTGTGGTTGAATCCCCACTGAAATTTGCTCACTTATCCTACCTTTTTTATCTTTGAAATTGTCATATCCTAAAATTGACTTCTTTTGAGAAAATAACGTTTGCCTCTCATGTCCAAAAGGTTCAAACTCAACGTCAAGAATTGAGTAGACTTCATTTATTTTTAATGTCTATCTAGAACATTTTTAAAAGATGTAAAACACTTGATTTTTGAATTTGGATTCATAAAATCTTGTACTTGTATGAAGATGGAAATAGTCGAGTCAACTTGACTTGACTTTATAGTTTATACACATCTTTCCCGAAAATTCATGTTACAATCAAAATTTCAATTTGAACCAAAACAAAGATACAAATACAAATTCAGTATGTAATTTCACTTTATTACGAAGCTATCAATTTTGAAATAATTTATTGTCAACCTTTTTTAGATATGAATCAATCTGATTTTAAAGGACCCGTTGGATAATTTTTATGGATTCTATCATTTCATTGATTTAAGTTCGAGTATTACTAAATATGGAACTATAGAAATACAATCAATCGTCAAGAAAGAGGATTTGATCGAATCATTGTTTGCATTGGCTTGGAATGCACTTTACATTGTATCAAACTATTTAGATAGTTGGGTGGGAAAATGGGGCTCCCCTTACTCTTTTATTGGATAGGCAAGCCTAAACCAAGTAACCGACGCTGTTTTTAAATTACCTGCTGGTTTAAAAGGATCTATCAAACTAAACTATACCTAAACAAGTATGTACAGATATTTGTCGTACCACCGAGCGAGTCTGAGTCGGTCTATTATGAGATTCCTTATAACGCTGCAGAAATTTTTTTTTTCCATTAATACATAAGATCCCATTTGGGTCGAGGAAATGAAGACAAGCCAAAGACTAAAATTAGATAACGATTAAAATTAAAAGTTTTAATACATAATTAAAGATTAAACTCCTCTTAACGGTTAAAGTGCAAGAAAATAATTTAAAAATAACAGGGATGACCCCATACTTCAGTTGTAGGATCTAACTGCAATATTCTCCCCTGTTGAAAAGGAATAGTATTTGTTATGATAAGTTCACAATATTAGCCAACTTTAAATTAACAAAAATATGAAAATAATAAAGTGCAGAACTGAAAGAAACATAAAAACACAAAAAGGAACATGAGATTTTCGCCCTAAGGCAAAATGTTTGAAACCAAGGTTCCTAATCCCCTTTTGAGTTTCCGTCACCGGAAAGAGATTACTATATCAATGAAATCATCAAAATGAACGGTCCAGTACAGGTTCCATGGCACTCAACAAAAATCAGGCAAGATTTCCCAAAATAAGCCACACAAATCATTACAACATTCACTCAAGAATGAAGAATCAAAAGCCTATACATCAATCACTCAAGATCTATACAAGGCTAGTAATTTTTCATTATAACCAAGCTAAAATTCTAGAGTACAGACAGAGAAAGTTCAAGAGGCAGAGAAAATGAAAAGTCTTCCAGCCAGAAAGCCCTAGAGCCAGATAAATATCGAAGCCACTAGAAGGTTTCAATCCAACAGTGCAAAAAATTGACACATGGCAAGATGTGGAGCGTCTATTCTTTATAAGAGAAAGCGTGTTTCTAGAATACGTTTTTTCCAATAACAAAACAGCACCATTTATTCAACTCTTGCAAACTCGACCCACGAGCCTAGCATCAATAGTAAACCAGCCCAATCATCATTGTGCCAATCTCCACAGTATTCGAATCTTGCATGTGGTATTGCGTAACGTCATAATTTGTGCATCAAGTGTAACATAAATTTTTGCATGGTGTCTTGGTTCGAAAAATCTTGAGCATCCAATAAAATTATCTCGAAACAATAGATTGACTTCTATTTTGTTACTTAATAATATCTCCATATAACGATGTGAAAGATAAATAAAGGTACAGTTGTTCAATCTCGAATATAACCTTAATGACACGATCCAATAATTCGTTTAATCCATACAACAGAGTAAAAAAACCTCCCTACTGCAAAAAAAGCACATCAAATTTGTGATGATATTTCTATTCTTACCAAATTCTAGCAAAATATTTGTGAATTCTCCGAACCAGTCCTTGAGGATCTCGATTTTGGTCTCTTCATCGAAAGGTAGAGTACCATCATAATTGTCATCATCTAATTTCACAAATTCTTAAATCTCTTCGTCAAATATTAGGAAACAATTGTAATCGTCACCTGAATCAACGTGCATCCGCTTCTCTGGATTGAAAGGAGGAAAAAAAAGGGTATTGTCATACAACATTTGTACCATCAAATTTCATGAACTCAGGAAGTAGTTGGGCTGTAATACCAACCGTGTAGATGAAATTGTAAAAATAATAAAAGAAAATATTGAAGTTTCATTGATTTCAAATCAAAACTACAACATTGACACATTTCTAACCATAACACCATTACTTTTCTATTTTCTGTTAATTTCTAAGAATACCAAAAATTTAGGTATCGAAAATTTATAAATTCATGAATAAATACAGAATATTTGAACTCGTTGATTTGAACTATTGTACGTCCAGAATTTAAGAGATTGGAAACCTTCAAATTCTATAATATCTATTCAAAACAACTAAACACTAATAAGACTTACATCCATTATTTAAAGCAAGATAACGATAATGATTAAAATTTGGCTAACGATTAAAATCTAGATAATTTAGAAAATTAAAAGTTGTAACATATAATTAAAGCTTAAGGGAGTGTTTGATAGCATGGAAATGGAAAAAAAAAAGATGGAATTGGAATTCGAAATTTCAACTTTTGGTGTTTAATACCTTATATTTTCCATGAAATTGCATTTCTTGGATTTCTTGGAACTTGGAATTTTCCTTGTTTTAGTGGAATTTGAATTCTCACCATATATATGGTGAGATTCAAATTCCACCCTACTATAGCGATTATTATTTTATTTTTTTCGTCTTTTTTTTTTGGTTGGTAATGGAAATCAATTTTAAGAATTATTGTAAAAAAATATTTCCCTTTAATTGACAATTTTCATATAAAATAAAGCCAAACGAACATTTAAAAATATTTTTATTTCAACATTTTTCACGTGAAAAATTATATCAATCAAACACAATAATTTACAATTCCCAGGAAAACAATTATAGGCAATTCAATTCTCTGAAATTTATTTTTTAGACAATTTAATTTCATTTTTACAATCAAACGGACCCTAACTATTTATTCGCGACTTAAAGTGCAAGAAAATAATTAAAAAATAACAAGATTCAATCCCATATTTTAGTTATAGGATGGAACCGCAACAGACACCATTAATGCAAACAAATCACATCAACAACCGCCAGAATATAATGTGACAACTTTTTAACCAATTCATGGGAGTATTGAAGACGTTTTTATTAAGCCCCTGTCTGTTTCTCATTTCTTTATAATCGTTATTCATTACATTAAGTCATCAAATTTGAATTTTTATTTGTTATGTGGAGTCCATAGCGTTTATATTTTTCATTCTCATTCTTACAAAAATGAAAAACAAACGCCCTCTTAAGTCGTCGTTTGGTTCAGATACAAAATTATATTAAAATTTAGTTTAAAAAAATAAATTAATATTTAATTTTAATATCATATTTTATAAAAATCATAACTTTTAACTCACACATTTCATGATATCTATAACTTTTAAATCACATTTTTCAACTTTTATCAAAATTTATTAAAAATATGATTTTGCCCTTGTTTGAACCTTTTTTTGGTAAAAATATATTATTAAACAGTGTTTTGATATCATTTCAATTACATATTTTTCAGTAAAATAATATTACACGTAAATTTAAAATATTTATTTATTTTTTAATCACATATTCACCATCAATAAACTATTCAAAAATTTATTTTCTCCCAAAAGTGGAGCTCAAACTAACTTTTTTTTTTTTCCTTTTATTTTCTGGAAAACGAATTACTGAACCTGAAATAAATATTCCAGTCCCAATAGTATTTCCCTTCGAAGGTCCGCAGAAGTTTCTCCAGTAATCCAATTTACTACGTCCTTTCAAAGGCATCGATGACGACCCGAATCGCGCCTGGCGTCGGAGCAAACCTTCTAGGCCAACACTCAGCCGAGCGCAACCAGGACGCCACCGTTTACGTTGGCAATCTCGACACTAGAGTACTATTATCTTTTTCCTTTATTTTTCATATTCTCCTGGGCTGGGGTTAGGGTTTAGGATCTTTCCTTTAGTGTGAACTTGTGCGTTTAGTGAACTATTTTATTTATGGACTATTGCTGTTCCTCCTTTAGATTACAATGAGAGAGAACGTCCTGTCATTTGTACGAGGTGATTGAATTGCTGGGTTTCATCTTGCCAATTGTATGAGTATTTTTTATTTATTTTCCTTGCTATGTGTGATGAAATGTTTGATAGTGTGATGCTATCACCGATAAGGAGCCTTAGTAAACTTGAGGAAAAGTTTAGTAGGGCTTTTGTTGAAGTGAGATGCTATAAATGTTATTTTACAAAATTTCATCTTTCCTTTGGATGAAAGTTGATCAAATTTTCAAAAGATATCATGTAATATTGTCATTTTCCTCATAAAGCTGAACAAGAAGTAACCATTCCAGTATTTCAATTTAGCAAACGGTGTTTTGGAATCTCTTATTAAAGGCTTCCTACACTTATCTTGGCTAGCTATCTATTTAGCTTCTGTAGTACTCCGTTCTTGTGGCTCTATAATTTGAAATATTTATTATGGCAGTTTGTCTAATCTGTGTTACAGATACTAGTTCCCAGTCCTGTGTAATTGTTATGTGCTTGCTTTCTATTCTGAGTAGGCGAACCAGCACGTTGAGGCCTGTGCACTTGAACATGTTTGATTTGTGTCTTTCTAAAGCTTGATTATGTTATAGACCAGTCCCCTTTCTCATTGCACTTCCATCCCCAACATAAGGGAAGAAAAGAAACTCTTCCCTTTTTTTTTTTTGCACTAGGCTAATACATCTCTGCCCCTACTCCTATATTTGTCTTCATAGTTACTGGGAAACCTAAGTTTTTATTCATTCTCTGTACTTGCAGGTAAGCGAAGAATTATTATGGGAGCTGTTTGTGCAAGCAGGTCCTGTTGGTAGGTTTGAGACGTCTGTTAATGACTCTCTTTTTTCATTATAATTTACAAATGATATTTTTTGGCATAAATCATTATATTTTTTAATAGATCACACATTTATAGAATTTGAGATCTTTCTCATTTACTTTATGTATGCTATCGGGCTTTGAATATTTTTGGACAATCCAGTCAATGTGTATGTTCCCAAGGATAGAGTCACAAATGCTCATCAAGGCTATGGCTTTGTGGAGTTCAGAAGTGAAGAAGATGCTGATTATGTAAGTGTTACTTATGCAAGCATAACTGTTCATTTAGAATACAAATTTGTTTGTCTGAGTTATTTCTTTATTAGATCCATGATTTTGATTATCAACCTGTTTCTGCAGGCAATTAAGGTTCTAAATATGATTAAACTACATGGGAAGGCAATTAGAGTTAATAAGGTATGAAACTACAATTCCATTTTCTAAGCGAGTTTGTCACCGTTTTGTATGTTTTTGTGGAGCCGATTAACTTATCTTATTGTTATTGTAAGAATCACTGCAGCGTTGCAACTAAAATATATGACTTCGTTTGATCATCTTGTTTCATTGTTTCAGGCATCTCAAGATAAGAAAAGTGTTGATGTGGGAGCTAACCTGTTCATAGGAAACCTTGACCCTGTAAGAGATTTGGGATTCTTGGATTTACTTGAGTACTTGTTTTCCATTCACTCTGTAGTTGGTGCGGATATTCTATACGACCATTAAAATGTATAGCACACACTTCTCTTGGATAATATATTTACCAGCACATTCAACTAACTCTTCGTGTTCTTTGCAGGATGTTGATGAAAAACTTCTGTATGACACTTTCAGTGCTTTTGGAGTCATTGTTTCAAATCCAAAGGTCACGCCTTCCTGGTCTCTAATATTTCCGTGTCTTACTCTGTACCTTTTGTGTCATAACAGAATGCTGGTGCAAAAGGCTAAAAAAATTTATTTGTGGATTTTAACACTGTTTGTAACATGTACATGAATAAGTTAGTGCTTTCTCAGTGGATAGTTTATTTCCAAAGTTCTATAAATTTATTTGTCTTTCATCCACATCTTATGATTTGCTATTTTCTCCCAGTTTTTAGTTTTAGTTTGTTGGATTATTTAATATATCTACACGTTTGTGCCAGAGTTCTCTTCTCTCTCTCTCTCTTTTATGTTCTTATTTATTTATTTTTTAGATGGACAAACGTATTAACAGGGACACGTGTATATGCATCGGAGAGCACATTTTGTGCTTCCTCTTCAAGTGCAAGATTAGAATTTAAGCTGAAAATTTATTGCCCATGTTACAAAAAAATTAACAAGAACACTTGTTCTTCCATACTTAATCTATTTACACACATCCCTTCAAATGGATCAATCCCGTCAAATCGATTAGTTAATCAGTCATGCTCTATCTCCACTCTAACCTGGGCATGTTGCCCATTATTCTATGGGCTGTGGTACAGGTGGTTGCAGAATCACTGTCACAGTATTCTTGGTTAATAATTTCTTTTATATTGTATTTGTCTCGTCTTCCTAGTAGCATTGAAGCGCGTGCATGATTACTGGTTTCTATAACTTTCTGCAGTAAGAACAATTAGGTCTTTCTGTTAGCATTGAAAAAATTGGAGGGGAGTTATTATTTTCTAGGGTTTGCTATTTTGATGAATCTCTTTGATGTTTTCTTTCCATTTCCCTGTTTCACCTAGTTTCACCTAGCAATATGGGTATTTGGATGTTTAAGTTCATTTTGTCATTTTGTCATGTTGGAAGTATACTGGTGGCTGTATATCATAACTGCATTATACGACTGCTACTGGCCGTCAATACTTGTATTACTTTTTTAATTATCTGGCATAATTTTTGTTTGTTGATCATTTGCATTTGAATTCATGGTGATGCTTATTTTCCTTTTTGTTTCTGATTTTTATGACACCTGCAGATAATGAGAGATCCAGAGACCGGGAATTCCCGTGGTTTTGGCTTTATTAGCTATGATTCTTTTGAGGCTTCTGATGCAGCCATAGAGGTAACTTTCTCCATATGATGTTCTCTTATACTTGTGCTGACTGCAGAGTGGACACTGGTCCCATTATCAAACTTTTAAACCATTAGATTTTGTTTAATTGAATGGGAATAGTAATTTGTCATGTAATAAGTGAAATATGTATTTTTCACTTTCACTAGCAAACGGGGTTTAACTTATAGTTCCATTAGTGTGTGCTACCACATTATTTTTTTTTTTTGATAGGTAATCAAATATTTTATTAATCATGGATAATACACAGGAAGTGTATTATCAATTAATACAAGACAGTAACGACATTAAATTGGGCAATCCGTTTATGCGAGTGATAGCCACGGCATTAAACCAAGTATACAGTGTCAAATAAAAAAATTCTTTAATCTAAACTGTTGTCCATGTATGATCATCGAAGCAGCGGCTATTTCTCTCCTTCCACACACACTAGACGATGCATCTTGGGACAAGGTCCCAAACAATCTTGCTATCTTTATTATGAAATCTTCTTCCCCATGCCTTCAATACATCCTCCATATGCTGTGGAAACACCCAATCCATGCGTCGAGAAGCCAGAATATTGTTCCATAGGGTACGAGCATCGTTACAATGAAGGAACAAGTGGTCAGTCGTCTCTCCATTATATAACACCATTCCGTAACATAAAAGCTCCTACATCGGAGGTTATCCACCGTTAACACCTGTCCCCTCATAACCGTCCATGGTAAAAATGCCACCCGAGGGGTAGTTTACAACGCCACACATTTTTTTAGGGGAATGAACTTTCCTCAGGTTCCAATAAATATCTAAAATAAGAGCTTACTGAGAACATGTCATCGCGTGCCAACCTCCACCTACTACTATCACTCTCGCCAATCCCGACGTGCACTTCATACAAAGACGTTAGGAGTAACGCATAATCATCCAATTCACGGTCCTGTAGAGCCCTCCCAAAAGCAACGTTCCAACTGAGATTCCCATTATGCACATGTAAGACTTCATTCACCATAGCCTGCGGTATCAAAGTAATACGATATAGGGAAGGATACTCCACTCTTAATGGCCAATCTCTACACCAGCAATCTTTTCAGAATTTGATAGTATTGCTATTCCCCACCTCATACGTCAATCTATCCTGAAATTTTCTCCAACCTCGTTGTATATATCTCCACAAAGTGCAGTCACATTATCCGAAGCGGAGGTGTCAAATGCCTTTTCACATGCACTTTGGTCGTAAGACTACAAGTCTACAAGTTTGAGCTTTCCATTAATCCATGCTCATTAGTATTCAGAGTTCTTGATGCCAATCTTTTTGGAAGCATTCTCTAATCAAGTATTCCAAACCCTTATTTACTTTATTTTTGTCTTCTTCTTGAATGTCTCGGTTTGATTTACATAATGTAGCGCTATGATTGCCATATTTTCTTAATTTGATGGCAAGGGGATGGATGATTTGCATGTTTTGCTGGATCAGTGAAATATTCTTTATGGTGATTTTTGTTTTGTACTTTCCAACATGCGAATTTCATCTGTGCACTCATTTAGGGCATAATTTGGTCTTTTCCATAGCTTGAAGAAAAACATTGATAGTCTTGTATGATTTTGTCTAATGATTTCTTTATTAGACCTTGAGAACACTAATATGATTCATTTCTGCAGGCAATGAATGGTCAGTATCTTTGCAATCGTCAGATAACGGTGTCTTATGCATACAAGAAAGACACAAAGGGGGAGCGTCATGGAACTCCTGCTGGTCAGTGTTTCCTATTGTTTTTTCATCCGTGTATATATTAGTGTTTTTTTTTTTTTTTTTTTAATCTTCCATCACTGATGTGATTGGTTCTAACACCTTTCATATGTAGAAACTTTTAGAGATACTTAAATTGCAATATTAATGGACGTCACGTGGTTCCATAAACAACTTACCGACATTGAATTTCTAATCAAAAGGGAAATTTCTGATGGTGGATTACATTTATAGTCCCTGAGTTCATGTGACTACTAAATATGTAGATTTGTCCAGTGATATGGCTGCTTCGAAATACTTCCTGTCGCCCAGTTTAGTTCCTTTTGGGCGATTCAGGAAATGCCAGCAACGTTGCCAAACTTTCCCATCCTATAAGGATTCGTGTCTTTTTTTCCTGATCGGTAAATGTGAAATTATATTAATCAAAACTCGTGTACAAATACATTGGACATTCTCGGGCAAAACAAAGATCAAGTAACAAAAATACAAGTACTAACGGGCATATCTGGCAAGCAAACTGAAGATATACAAACGAAACAATCTAGTGAACCAATGCTAGAGACTCAAAATGAATCAAAACATTTGGATACAAATAAAAAACATAACTTGTGTTTTGATTCGTCTCACTATGCTATCGCCCCATTGTCCAAGGTTTTCAAAAAACTTCCTATTCCTTGCCATCCAAATGTCGTAGATTGTGCTAGCAAGGGCAATATGCTTAGCTTTGCTGTGCAAGTTGTCCCCTGAACCTCCTTTGTCAACTATTTTAATGCACTTTGAATCGTAGACATAGAGCGTAGAATGCCCATCCACACCCTAATCTGTTCCCAGTCCCCAAATAGAGCAGCTAAACGGATAGGAAAAGAAAAGGTATTGCACAGTTTTAGTAGGACATCCGCAAAATACAGAGCTACGATCAACGTTCATGTGATGTAATATGTCCTTGGTTAATAGCTTAGATTTAGCTCCCAACCAAAGGACAGAAGCATGTTTCGGCATGATACCAGCTTTCCAAATAGTTGCTGCCCATACTACGTTCGACCCTTTGACTCTGAAAAAATCATAAGCTGTTGCAATGTTGAATTTCCCATAAGCTGCCCATTTCACTAGTGTGTTACTTGCGGCTTGAATGGTTTGTTCAGGCTGTTTAATCTGATCCCTAATTTTCAGCACCCTTTTAGGTAGTGGGAGTCCTCTTTTTTCACCGTATAGTGCCAAATATCCTTTCCATGAAGAAAAATTTGATTCACCCACTTCACCCAAATAGTTTTGGTGAGATGCTTTGTTCCAGCAACTGATACCTCTAACTCCAAGCCGACCTTCGTGCTTAGGAAAACAAATACTAGTCTACATAATCAATGGTTTTTTAGATCCCCAAAGACAGTTCTGGCAGAGGCTAATAACCTTTGATGCAACTGTGGACGGAATTGGTAGGGTGGAAAGTCAAAAATATACAACACCTTGAAAAACACTTCTCACAAGTTCCACTCTTCCCGCAGAAGACAATGAGGCTCTAGTCCAAGCACCAATATAGCCCGTGATTTTATTGATAAAAGAATCATAAGAGCTGATTTTCAATTTTCCGGCCGCAAGTGGAATTCCTGAGTAACGGAGAGGCGTAGAACCATGTTGGTAAGTTGAAGAATATCCTCCAATTCTTGCCCATAGACTCTCGTCGTAGACAAGTTGAACTTGTTTACATTCATTTTGAGCCCTTACATATCACCAAAGTTTGTTACAGTTAGAAAATCTATTAAGATTCCAACCGAAATAACATCCCCTGTTGCAAATAATATCAAATCATCCGCAAATGCCAAGTGACTGAAGTGAGTATTCTTTAACGGGCCACATTTAGGATGAAAGTTGAACTCATTGTTGTTGGTAGCTCTCGTCAACATTATTGAAAAATATTCAAGACAAATAACAAACAAGAAATGAGATAAAGGACCACCTTGACGAAGCCCTTGATTTTTTGAAGAAGCAAGACGTGTAACTATTCGGGCCCGGCCAAACAACGCATCTTTGACCTCTTCTCCTAAATATCCCGAACTAGTGTCATAGCTTGCTCTTCCGTTAACACGGGACCACTCCTAAAGATATCATGCTGAACGGCCTTCCCCGGACCTTTTTCCCTGAGTAAGTGTAAAAATGAATGAATTCATCAACCACTTCATCTAATGAAGAAGTATATGCTCCATCCCCCTTCAGCACGGTAGCAATGTAATTCCTTTTGGAGTTCCTCTTTACCACCGAATAGAAATTTGTACATTTGTCATTATTCTTTAGGCAGTCACCTTTAGCTTGTTGGTAATAGAAGCTCCTTTCCGCTTCACAAAGATCCATAGCTACCTTCCTCATCGTTGTCACCCTTCTTTGAAGCACAATGTTAATGGGATCATCATGCAATTCTTTTTGTGCTTCTTTCATCACCAAAGTAGCCGTTTGAGCTCTAGTGTATATGTGTAAAAAGTGCTTCTCATTTAGCTCCATCTTGAGACTTTGTAACTTCTTGTAAAGTATGAATTGTTTTGTACCTCTAACCTCTTGTCCACATATTGAAGAACTTAAATGGCTTCTCTTGCTTCTCTGTTGACCAAATATTGATACAATATATGGGGAGTGATCGGAAAGGCACCTGGATGGTAGAAAATTTGCAAGACTATTAAATCCCTCTTGTACCCAAATATCATTAACCATGGCTCTATCAAGTTTGCTCCACATTAAGCCATTAGTCCGAGTATAGAAGCATCCAATAGATCTCTCATCCATAAGCCCGATGTTAATGCAACAATTTTCGAAGTCTTTTACCTCATATGGTGTAACATCCAACCCTTTGCATTTTGCATCAAACTTGAGCACGTTATTGAAATCACCCAAGATCAACCAAGACAAGGAACAAACCGACCCAAAGTCCATGATGTTGTTTCCAAAGTGGTCTTCAGTTCACAATAGTATGAAAACCATAAACAAAATTAACATGGAAAGTGAAGCTACCTTAAAAGTAGCAATACAATGGATGATTTGATACGTAGTCTCCAAAACTTCCAAATTGACTTTCAAAGGTGTTGTCATGCTAGATTTTTTTTTTTTTTTTTTTCCGTGTGTGAGCTAATGATCTCTACACGTGTTCCTATATGTACATTAGCTGACTGTTGTATATGATGCTTGTACACTTGATGAAATGCAGAAAGAGTTTTGGCTGCGAGTAATCCAACTGGCCAGAGAAGTAGGCCCCATACCTTGTTTGCAAGTGGACCTCCTATGCTTCCTCCACATCCCAATGGTACGGTCAGTGCTCCAGTGCCGCCGCGGTCTTTTGCAAATGGCAGTGTTCCTCCACCCCCCATCCCAGCACTCCGTCCACCACCACCACAACCTCCACAGGCTGGTGTTTACCCCCCCATGCAGATGACCGGACCACCATCCTGGCAGGGACAGCCACCACAACCTGGTCAAATTGGCATGGGTCTGCCACCAATGCAGCAGTTCAGGAGCATGCCTCCACCACCACCTCAACAAGTTGCTCCTGGTCTAGTTAGGCCCCCTCCACCTCCATCTGGACTTGTTGCTCCTCCTGTTTGGCGGCCACCACCTCCTCAGCACCTCACTGGCGGACAACATTCTATGCCACAGATGTCAATGCCCCCTCCACCACCACCACAATGAGGTGGAAACTTATGGAGGTTTCTAGATAATAGCTCAAATAACTTTTGACACTCTTTTCCTTGTGGCATTTTGTTCCATTACTACATTATTGCATGTAAAATTCTGAGAGAACAGGCATGATTATTCTTATGGCAAGTGCCTGGCATGTATCCTTAACCTACTAAGTAATTGCGAAGATTTTTTGAGGACTGTAAATATAGCTTTTGTCATCTGTTTGTTTAGAGAAGTTGTTTTAGGCACTGGAGAAGTTCTAGGATTCAACTGAACACCGGATATAGCTCGTAGAAACCTTCAGTTGTGGTTTCTATAGTTTCCTACGTATTATTAGCCAAGTCTTTGATCCCTGATATGTCTGCCTCATGATACCGCAGACGGTCCATAATTTACTGAATATTAGTGATTTTTCTGAAGTTCTTTAAATTACATTTCAGTGTTTAAGGAAGTTCAAATACTTTGCAACTTTTACAGTTTACTTTCATATTAAGAACTTGAGCTTTGGTCTGGCAGCTTTAGAAGCTTGTGATCCATCTTATTTGGTTTGTTTTATCCTTAAATGATATTGGCGTCCGTCTTCTTCCTTGGTTTGGGCATGCTCGAGCTCCTCCGGCCAATGTGAGGTTAGCAAAGCCACCGTTCCACTTTATTTCATTTTCCTTTGATTTTGAACAAACGAAAGTTTTACAATCATCTCATAATCGAGGTCGAAATGTCCAACCGCTGTCCTAAAATAAAATCATTAGTCAGTTGAGGTACAATGAGAACAGTAGAAATATAAACCCCAATGCAGAATACTTAAGAATTCTGATTTCCTCAGTGAGCATAAAAAGCAGAACCAATTATTGAATAAAGAATTAGCCGAATTGACACACTACCGAAACTATTCATAAAATTTCATGCATCGCTGCCCAAGTAAATGCTTTAAATGTTGTTACAAGAACAGTAGACATTTGGTGCATGCATGCATGTTTCAGATAGTGGCCCATACGGTTCAAATTCAATGCACTGTCTTAATTCACAAATATTTTTGTTGGGTTGAGACGTGCACATTGCACCTAAAGATTTGATTTTACTTTGCCAGTCATCACTTTTCTACAGTCTACATTAGTTATCATTGTGTTGTCTAAGCACTATACTGTACCAATATACCTTTAGTTATACCATATTCGTTTTAGCTTCTGGGTGGTTTTCACTTTTTCTTGCTTGGATTTTTGATTTTGTATACTTGGATCTGATAATTGATGATATAGTGCAGTAGATTTGCTTTTTTCTCAACTCTGTAGTGCACTCACTGTAAATTTCTAGTAGTAAATTTCTTAACTCAGTGCCCATTTTTTCTTTGCTCAAATCACGAAGCAAGCAACCCAATGCCATATGTACAAAAATTTCTCTCGAGATTGCAAAAAACCCTACTGACACAAACACACACACACACACACAGCAAAAAAACAGGGGGAGTGCATATGCCTGAAAATATGGAGCCCACGTAGAAAGAAGTAGGATTTGAAAAATCTCCCTCTTCCAATTATCCGACTTGGACCCACGTAAGAAAATAAAAGGCTGTCACCTTTTCTGCAAAAAGTAGTGCTGAAAGAGGCAAAGAATCTCTGATGCCTTGTGAACTGCTATCTCACTAAATCTTACCATTTGTAGTCAGCTGAATTAATCAGAATTCAGATTACAAATTAACGAAAACTGAGATGAACAAAGAAAACAAAAGCATGGAGTGTGCATTCGTGAAAACTGAAAGTTTGTAGCCATTTTTAGTGGGAGATACGAATTTGAAATCGATGGAATACTCTATACAGTTGGAGCAGTCTTGAATCTCTACTTTGGGCAGTTACACTAAAATAACAAATGGACAGAAGAGTGATCAGGTTAGTTCAGAAGAAAAGTTTGGATATGATTCAGAACCTGAGAACTAAGCATGCATCTATAGTAACACAGGTAGATTCAGTGTATTTAATAGATTCTGCATGCAGGGGGAATGGTTTGTCTTAAAAGTTGAGTTACTAAAGAATTTTATTTATTTAAATGATCATCTTTAATCACGAATTAAATTAGATTCATTTTTTTCTAGTAAAGGCCTAGTACATTTCAATTTCTTTTTATTTTTATTTTTCTTAAGCAGGTGTACATAAAATTTCTTCCTTTGATGACGACTGTTTTTGAATGTTTAAGTTATTAGAATATAGTACATCAATTTAACATTTGAATCGTTTCTAGTAGCTAAGTTTTTTATTGATCAAGTACGAAAAATATTAGATATAAAAAATTATAATATATATATATATATATATATATATATACTCGCACAAACAAACACGTACGATCTTGAAATGTATTTTGAATTAAACTACTTGTACATCATGCTTTACACCCTGAATAGGTGGCAATCTTTTAATTGATTGAATTAAAATTGTTTTCTCAAAGATAATTTGAGATCTTGCAAAGCGTAAAGCTTTAAAGCAAGTGGTAGGATGTACATGTAGCATCAATCACGAATTTTTATGTACATTCATTCTCACGAGTTGAGAGTCTTGATGAGGATATTTGGGTGTATATCCCTTTTTTAACACAAACTTATGAAGAGAATTTGATTTGACCTTTCGTTCTGATTAACAATAGAAAAAAATAAATAAACATATCCATTCCACGGTCAAGGAAGATAAGTAATTCCTATACTAGACACTCTAATTGTGCAGAACAAGCAAGATTTACATTGTTTGAGAATTAGAACCTAACTTTACATCATCAAGAAAAAAAAATGTAGTAAAGAAAAAAGACATAAAAGAACACGCAGGATTTATATATATTTACTTCAATACGAGATTACATTCTAGTCCGCGTCTATAGTAATTCATTGTGATGAAAAAAAATTTACAATAAAAAAATCTTACATCCTACTTTTTAAACATCTCTTACTTTTGATGATGATAAAATAAATTCTAATGATAGTTCCCTGTTTATTAAAAAATAAAAAATGGAAAAGAAAAAGAAAATAGAGCAAAATCAAATTTATAATTGTGAAATTCATGAACTATCCTTAATGAAATTTTGAACCTGAAGGCTCCGCACCACACCATTGGGAGCCACCTATAGACTTCACATAATGATAATAATTTGGTTCCATAACTTAACAATCTCTCATTTGAAAACTAATTCATCATCATTGGTTCCTCTATAACGACAACAACTCCACAATCCTCAAGAAAAAATCCAATAGAAATTGCACACAAATGCAATTTTTCGATTGGAAAGTCACATCTTCCAAATTCCAACTCACTTGAATCTTCTCAAACGGTAAGACTCCATCATTTAAAGCCGATCGGATGAAGTGATAACAAACTTATAAACGTTTCGTCATTGCATGGTAAATATAATACTTTACTAAATAAAACGTTCTTATTGTCACAATTTAACACATGCTTTTCGCATAACAACAATAATTAGATTTGATGACTTATCTTATAAGATCGATTCATGGCATAAACCATCTATCCAAACAAAAGAAGGCTTTACCTAATTTCAAAATTCTAAATTGCATCGGTGTGGATGAATTGCTTATCAATGGGTTAAAAGTTAAAATGCAGTTGAAAACCAAAAGATTGGACCAACCAGAATGATTTAGTTGTTATTTGATAAAAATTTCATCAAATTTCCTTTTTTCTCGAACACATTTTCAAACATACATTTATATACAATAAAATATTTGAACGTAAATTCAAAATTTTTTCATACTTTCTGGCTACACATTCTTAAAAAAAAATTACTGTTTCAAAATTCATTTTTTAAAAAAATTCTTTTTAATGGTTGTCAAACAAGGCTTGAAGTTCTTGTGTAGGGGGAGACCATAATAATTGAAGACGGCAAAAAATGTTTATTATACCCATTTCCATTTAAATCATTGCAATTGTTCTTCTCCCCACATCCACATGCCTAGCAATCATATTTCTTCATACTTGAAAACTAATTATTGCCTGTTTTTGAGGAACAAAAGTTAATTATTACAATCATACGTTCCTTCGGATTTTGACCAAAAGCACTCGTTTTTGCCTTGAATTCTTTGTCACCGTTCTTCTTTAGAACTAAAGGCTATAAGAGCGCGCGCGCGCACACACTATATATATATATATATATATGTTCATCCCGCTACTAAATGACTAACGAAATATTATTTACGCAAAAAGTGAAGCTATTTAATTTTAATTGGATCGCAATCCCAATTTAATTAGTATTAATGTGACATTAAATGATAAGTGAAATTAAAATTTTCACATTTTATATAGTTTATCATTTAGTGTTATCTAAAGTGAGATTGTAATTTCGGTAGAACTAAATATCATTACTGTTACATAAATTACGTGCGAGGGCATTGTCTAGCAACCTTTGAAATTTTTTTAAAAATATTAAAAGTTAGTTCTGAAATAAAAATAAATGCTTTTGAACATAATTTAATAATTTTTTAAATTGCTTTGTCTAGTTAGAGTTTTTGGAAGAATTAATATAGGATAATTTTTCAAGAAATTCTTTATTTGCTTGAACTGTTGCAGCTTTTGGTGTGGAATTTTTAGTGGTTAGAGATAAAGCATTTTTTTAATGAAAATGTTCGTATTAGATGATGAAAAATCAAGGGGTCATGTCTACTCATCAACGACATAGAAAAATCAAATCAGAACGCTTTTGACTATAAATTCTGATACCCTTTTATACTGAGATTTCAACACCTACTCGAACGCTAGCAACCATAGCATCTCGAGCTTGCAAATTACTTTGACCAATCTTATTAAACAAAATCAAATCTAATTAAATTCGATGCTGGTTTGTATACAAGACTTGGTTTGTGTATTGGACAAAATCTAAAGATCTATGCTTTATGTACCGGGGATTCCCTTGTACATGGCTAGAGGGACACTTGTCTCCAAGGGCAAAATCAATTTTTTTTGTATTGTGGGATTGCAAATTAAAATAATTTCTTTTTTTTTTTAAAATAACATTAATGAAAATAAGTCAACGTACTATTACAATTGTAGCTTATTTGTTGCACTATTTGCATCCTTAAGGATGCTCGAGCGGAACTCAAGCACTCCAAAAATGGTAGGCTTCAGTAATTTAACCTTGTCTAGTGCCCTAAGGATAGTTTACAACGTGCAGGACAAACTACAAATTACATACTTTACCTACTCTTACTCAAAATCAAGCAACACAAGCCCCAACTTCAATTACAACTCCACAAATACAACACAAACCCCAATAATGAGAGTAAGATATTGGGTGAAAAAAGAGATGAAAAGTAAGGAGAGAAACTTGAATGTAAATATTAAAAATTTTAGTTTCAAACGTAAAAGTTCCATACTTGATCGAAGAATAGAGATTAGAGGACAATTTTTTTTTTTTTTAAATTTCTATTTTCAAAGAATAGAGTAGGGCCTCGTTTGGTACACATTTATGTAAAAATGAGAATGAAAAATATAGTCGTTACGGGCCCCACACAAGACATAAAAAATCAAATATAGTAGCTTGATGTGATGGATAACGATCATTTTTTTTATTTTAATGAACGAATAATGGGAAACAAACGAGACTAAATTGTAGTGAGTCAACGTGAGAAATATCAAAATTAAAAAAATTTTGTGGGGGTGACTTGACCCCATATGGGGTTTGCCAGTGCTTGTCTCCTTGGCCCTGTATAGGGGGAAATTATCCAAATGATTAAAGGGCAATTCATCGACTGAATCAGTCAGTAGAATGCACAATAAGAGAAATTTGTGTAATTCGATGACCGAAGTGAAACGGCTCTGTAGCGAGAATAATGTGTCACTGGTTTGGATAAAGAGGTAAATTGAAGGAATGGGTTACCCAAAATGGAGCTTGTTCTTTGTATACAACTTTAAGTACATTTTCTGAAACATCAAACTCCAGAAGTTATACAGAAATTACAAGTAACCAGATATTCATGTACCAATCATGGATGACGGATGCATGCAATTATGGAAGCGTAGTCAAATTAATGATATTCATTATGATTAATGAAGAAAAAACATAAGTAACTGATGGATAGCAGTGCCTACAATAATATTACAGGATATTTTAATTTTGATCATGGCTACAATACTCGATCTAATTTGCTCCACCAGATACGCGGCGGCGATAGGCGGAAGAAGCTCTCGAACCAGGACAGAAAATTGCCTCCCAAATTTCAGAAAAGGCCTGGACAATAATCCCGTGATAATTACTGGAATTTAAAGACAAGAAGCACTGCAAGAGTTGCTCCAAATCATTCTCTTCAAACATTTGTTTCTCCAAAATCATCTCCGTCATTGAATTCTTGAAATCCTCGTATGGATCCTTAGACCTCTTCACTATAGCGAAACTTTCCTTAACTTTTCCATCAACGGAACATGGTATCAGTTTCTTGAACATCGACAGTCTTGCTGGAATCTCGCCGTCTGCGGCCGAGACTGACGGCCTTGAAATGCTGCGCTTTGAAGTCTTGGCCACTCTCCTTTTGTTCCTTCGGTGAGGTTTTGATGTAAAGGGCGTTTCTTGAATGGGATGCAAACGTGGGTTGAACTCTGAGGACGAGTCAGTGGAGAAGCTAATGGAGGAGCAAACTAGGGTTTCAGTTTCCTCTTCATCTCTTTCATCACCAACACTGACACCGCCTTCACTACTAAACCACCCACTCTCGGCTGACGAGGTGCTAATGCGAAGTCTACTTGGGATGTTATTCTTCTTCTTCTTCCCGCGTCTTTTCTTTTTCTCCGCCGCAGATAGCGGCGGCGGCAGTAGTGAACTAGGCGCTGCAAAAGTTAAGTCATCATCGTCGGAGCCGCCGGAAGCAGCGGAGTTGTAGATTTTCTGGCGTGGTGTTTTTTCTTCATAGATCTTTGCAACAACGTGCCATTTCTCCTCCTCTTGCCACTTGAATTCTTGGGGTTCTGATCTGGTGCAGTCTTCATCAGAAGAAATTTTTGCACCGGGCTTAGATGCCCAACCACAACTTGCCGATAAGAAAGTAGATGAGACGTGGCTTTTGAAGGAAGGGCGATGGTTTTGGTCCTTGGAAATTGGGAAATTGACGACTGTAAAGTTGGGATTCCCCGGAGAAAGCCGTGAGAGTGAAGGGACAGGATCTTCCGGGAGAGTGGAGGGGTCTTTTGAACGGCAGGATTGTAAGGTAGTGGTGATAACTCTCGTTATCCGAAGCTTGAAACTTTTCGCCATTGTTACAAATTTGAGCTCTAAATTCTGTGTCTGTCTGTATGTTGAGGGAAAGCTCCAAAATAAGAACTGCTTGTGAAAAAGGTGAACTTTATAGAGAGCATAAAGGAAGGAAGGAAGGTTAAATTGTAATTTTCTCCGACAAATATATTGATTTCTTTAGCCAGACAACTAATATTTAGAAACTGTTTTTCACGACTCACGACTTTTGCTTCTGAAATTAATAATCAAATTGATAAAGTTTTTAAAGGAAGCGAGTCTAAGGATTCGTTTGGCATTGCTTAAGTAACTCTAAAAGTTGCTTTTGAAATTAAGTTGCTGCTTTTAAATATGTTTGGCTATTTGTTTTGTAAGTGCTTTGTTTGAATAAAAGAACTTCTATAGAATGTTGATATAATGTAATTTTTTCAAGAAATTCTTCCCTGAGAACATAAGCCGTGTCAAATGAGTCATTAGGTAATTTTCTTAATAAGCTTTTTTACATGAAGTAGAAACAAAAGCATAATTCCTACTAAATGGGCCCTAAAATTTGTAACATATGCATCTAGTAGCATTCAATAGGTGAGTGATTTTTCATCAAAAAAATTGATTTTTTGACAGTTATTTTATTATTTCAACCGTAATTTTTGACCTCTTCTCTTACAGATGGTCCTCACTTTTCTCTTAACAGTCGAAAAATCAATTTTCAAAACCTCTACCGAACAATGCTATAGTCTCTTCGCGTACTCATATGTTTGTTGCAAATAACACACAAATTAAAAAGAACGTCAAATATAAACATACAGTATTAAGGAAGAAAAAAGTTCAAATTTATATATTTTAGTAAAAGTTAGGTCCTTTATTGGTTCTATCAAAGTAGACATTTTTTTGGAGAATATTTGCTTTAGAAGTTATAAACTTTTAGACAATGTAAAGATACAAAAGCGAGTAATTTTTTATATATTTACGTCCCAGAAGAGTACTAGGGTATGTTCGTATATCCTCTCTACTGTACGTTAAATTAAATACAAAAGTTTATGATAGCCAAAAAAAATTATGATATTCCAAATTAACTTATAAAATATGTTAAAAAGGAAGAAGCTTTCAGTTTGAATAGGCATTTTAAGTAACAGCACAGAGCTTAGCAAGCAAGAGTTATACTGTGCATCAGTTTATTGGATTGCATTTGGAAGCGAGAGATGGAGAGTTTTGCCGTCTTCCTATATTTTTCTGACTTTTCCAGTTGTTTACCATAAAACAAAACAGATAAAAAATAAAAGAAAGGGTCTATAAAGTGACAGCCATAGCTTCATGGCCTACAATCAAATGGACAAAATAGGCAAATAAATCAGGAAATTGCTCTATGTACAGAACAATTTCCTACAGATGTTTTACCGACCCCTCACTGTAGGGGTCGGTCCCACATAAAAAAAAATTATATCGGAGCCCGCGCATGTGAGAGATCTGGCAGGGTCTATTTTACAGATCCCTGTAAGTGTAGCATTTCTCAATAAATTGCCCCCCGCACCGCCCAAAAAAAAAAATTTATTACAAAATTTCAATACTCTTTTTCCAACTTTCAGTTTTAGCAATACTTTTTGTGCACACAAATGTAGGTAATTTTTGTGCAATAGATATCAAAGGGGCGGTTGTGTGATATGTATATGACAATTTATAGATTTATTTTATTAATAGTTAATGGAACGAAAGTCTCATCAATCAAATGAATATATTGGAAAAGCAAATCTACCTTATGTACTGAGATTTTTAAACTTTTTACGTTTTACAAATACAGTGGAAAAGTTAATTGGAGCCCAAAAAAAAAAAAAAAAAAAAAAAAAAAACGTAAAAAAGTAAAAACCATTGATT